CAGCCCCAGCAGCTTAGTGAGCCCCTAAGCAACTCAGTGAGACCCTGTCTCTAAGTAAAATATAAAAAAGGTGTGGGGATGTGGCTCAGTGGTTAAGCACCCCTGGGTTCAATCCCTGGTACCAAAATAAAATACTAATTAAAGCCAATAAATTGATTTTGTGATCTACTCATACTTGAGAAACCTTGGTCTAACACATATGTGGTATTACATGATTCAAATAAATCCCTCAGGATCAAACAACAGAAAGAGGAAGTATTTGCCAACTTGAAGACAAAGATCTCCAGAGTTAGAAATTCCCTAACACCCAGGAAGAGGGAGCCATGTGCAGAGTGGAACTTAGGAAGACAATTTGTTCCTACCTTCCAGGCTCTGGGTCTCCTGCACATCTGTGCTGTCCCACAGGACAGACACTAGCCACACAAAGCTATTTACATTTAATTAATTTAAATGTAAATAAAAATAATTCAGTTCCTCAGTAGCCCCATTGGAAGTGCTCAGTTGCCACTTGGTAGAGCACAACTACAAACATCTCTATTGGCCATGCTGGTCTAGATGGAGCATGATGGGAGATGGATCAACTTCATGACTCCAAGCTTGGGGGTCCCCATGTGCTGAATGAGGGATCGCCTCCAGAATTGTTTCCAGCTCCATATCTCTAATTGTGAAAGTCCATAAAGTTACTGTGTGAATATGAGCAGTTGGGAGGAGTCCCTGGAGACAGAGCGCTGGGGAACAGAACGCTTGGCTGGCTAGCAGCTAATCATTTCGTACAGGAGAGTTCAAGGGAAGGAAGAGCCAGAGGTCACAGCCGCGTCTGTGTTGGAAAGAGGAGGCTAAGAAGAAATCAGAGGATGTGCTTTCCCTCCTGCCGCCCGGGCTCCTATCTGCTGCTCCTGATCCCCGATAAACCCAGGTGTCAGGTGAATGGAATGTGCTTTTTTGGTGGGTGTTTGGGCTTTGGCTCACTGCCCCTAGGAAAGTCCTTCCTAGAAATTGATATGTGAAAACAGTTCAGCTGTCTCATGGAGTGTGTTTTTAAGTTGCGGAATCTCCTCAGTTTTCACTCTTTTCACTTTTTAAGCAGTTTTGAGGTATGATTTGTATACTGTAAAAGGCATCCATGCAAGGTACAGTGGGTTTTGAGAAATAGTTAACCCACATAACCATACCACAATCAAGATATTGAATGAGCTGGGTGCGGTAGCCCATGCCTATCACTATAGGAGGCTAAGACAGGAGGATCAAAAGTTTGAGGCCAGCCTGGTCAACTTTAAAAAAAAAAAAAAAAAAAACCAGACTGGTGATGTAGCTCAATGGTACAGCACCCCTGAGTTCAGTTTTTCCCTAGCCTCGAGTTACTAATGGGCTTTTTATCACTGTCAATTAGGTTTTCTTTTTCTAGAGTTTCATATCAGTGGGATCATTCAGTATGACGCCTCTCTTTGGCACAATGCTGTTGCAATTATCCATGTTGTTATGCATATCAATAGTTGGTTCCTTTTTATTGCCAAGTGGTATTCTATTGTATGGATTTATCTTAGTCTGTTTATCCATTCATCTGTGATGGACACTTGGATTTGGAGCTCTTAAGAATAATGCTATCATGTGTATGCACTCTCTGTGCAGACATTTATTTTCATTTCTCTTGGGTAAATATTCCCAGAGTAGAGTTTCTGGGTCATATGGTAAACGTATGTTTAACTTTATCAGTAACTGCCAAAATGCATTGTATTATTCTTAAAAATTTAATTTTTTTTGGCACGAGCTGCTGTTTTGCCTAAAGTATTGCCTGTATCCCTCTGTTTCCATTAGATCTTGTCTTGGTCTGAAAACAAGTTCAGGGTTAGGGTACACAATAAAAGGACCAGGCAGGACAGAGAAGGATTTAAACAAATAGTGTTGTGCTTTTTGGAAAAGAGTACATTACCAGGCTGTGAGAAAGACTGTACTCTAGGATAATAAATGTGTGGGATTTTAAGCTACTAATGGTAATTTGTTTTGTAGCAATAGACAACTAATACACTAGCCCACACAGTTAACGAGATGCAAAACTACTTCATTAGAATACTCAGGGCCCTCTCACAGGGATTGAGGAAACATCTCAATCCCTGAAGGACGCGAGGAATTTGCAGGGGAAAGTGTTCTCCTTGGAAAGGTAGATGTTTTTGAACTTAGCTGTTTCCTTAATTTACCTGTCCTCATAGAGAGAGAACCCTGTCACCAGCTCAGTCTGGGAACTACTGAGAGTTGGATGTAGAACAAGAAAACTTTGGCATGGAGCACTTTATGCTTCTGAATAGAGGAGCAAACAAAAATGTTATACCAAACCTAGCCCACAAGATTGAGATAGGTTAGAGAGTTGTTTTGTAATGGCAATAATAGGCAAATGTTGCCCTTCACCTATATACAAAAGACTAGCCAATGCAAGTTGCTAGTCTCCCCCCACACACCTTTTTTTAAAGTAAATATACATATGATAAGAATCAAATTTCTGATCACAATTTTGCAACCATTAATTCAGCCAAAGATCACCTTTTTTCAGCTTAAATGCAGGCATGTACTTGCTCGTCTTCTCTAAGTATGTTAAAAGCAATTCAAGTTTTATAGGTAAGTTTGGGAAATGCTATGTTGCAGCCTCTAAATGCTGGCCATCCTGTAAGAGGGCCCTGGGTATTCTAATGAAGTAGTTTTGCATCTCATTAATCTTGTGGGCTGGTGTATTAGTTATCTATTACTGCAGAACAAATTACCATAAATGTAGCAGCTTAAAATCCCACACATTTATTATCCTAGAATATTTGTGGTCAGGAATCTTGTCATTCTGCTTCAGTCTCTTACAAGGCTATACAATCAAGGGTTGGGACAGTGCTGGTGTCTCATCCAAAGGCTTGACTGAAGGATTCATTTCAGTGGTCACCTGCTGGTTGGCAGAATTCAGTTAGTTGAAGTTTGGGCTGGTTGCCTTGGTTCCTAGTTGGATTTTGGCTAGAGGCCATCAGCAGTTTCTTGTCACGTAGGCTTTTCTGAGAGCTGCTTGCTTTCTCAAAATATGCAATCCCAGAAGACAATCAGGAGACTCAATAGCAAGATGGAAGCTAAAATTTTAGGTAATCAAATCATGGAATGAACATTCCATCACCTTGGCTGCATACTGTTGATTAGAAGCAGGTCACCAACCCTACCCACACTCAAGGAGAGAGGATTACTTAAAGGTGTGACTACCAGGAAGCCGGCTTAGATTCTGCCTGCCATTGGGTTGCAGCCAAACCTGTCAACCGCTGAAACCCAGTGCACCCCAGCAAACACTCTAATGACAGAAGTAAGAATCAGTGGATAAATCTGACACACATTATAAAGGATGAGTCTGAGTCTTTTGCTCTTCTAGACTTCTTCTCCAGAATTAGGTAAAATAAGAGCAGGAAGGAATTGTGGTGTTAACAAATCTTGGTAACATTGATCCAAGTTTTTGTAGATGAGCACCAGAAATTACAGAAAATAAACAACAACAACAAAAAAAGAATAACAACAATCCCATATTATTCTTGCAGGAAGTGGGTAGAACAAATGGACAGTCGACTGGAATATAATTTCTTGTACATCAAGACCAGTAATTTACTGAGTCTAATCCAACAGAGGCACTCAATAAAATGTGTTTATATGAATAGACTTTGGACCCAATCTGTTCTGTTGATCTTCTTTTGTAACAAATACTTTATAATAACCTATAATAACCCTAAAATGAAATCCAAAAATAGAATTTACCCACCCAAATAATTGCAAAACTTCAGAATGACTTAACTAATATAAAAGATGAAAGAAAAATAATTGTGATTAAAAAAAATGTGTTTCAATATGAAGATTCTCCAAAACAAAGGGGTTGGATGATTGCTTTTGGATTAGTAATTGCTGCTAATGAGTTAGTTATGAATGCAAGCGGATACTTAATACTGGGGCATGGTATTAGGGACTCAGATCTACAATTTACCATTAGTGGTGTAATTTTCTAGGAAGATGGATATTTCTTGGAACTTTCTGAACAAAACAACAACAACAACAAAAAATCATCCCATAATTTCTACAGAAATTGCATTCCTGGAAAATTCAGTGTATGTTCAAGGTGTGCAAAAATAAACCTACCACCCCACCCCTCCAAAAATGAACTCTTCTTGTGGAGCCAGTCCAGGCTCACATAATTATATATAAGGTTTTTATCTACAGGTATGTCATGCAGGACATTGAAAACTATAAGGGCCTTGAGACAATTATTGTACAGGACTGCACTGCATTTATCAGGATAAATGCCTGGGACCTAGGATAAATGCCTGGGACCTGGCATTTCTCCAAACACACACTCCCCTCAGTTGCAGAAATGGCTGTCCATTATTGCAACAGCAAAAGACCCCTAGGATTTTGCTAGTAGGCAGGATCTCTTGCCATTGTAAACCACTTTACAAAGTAATGTAGTTATCAAGACTTGTTTGGACTCAGTTAAACCTAAAGATCAAGGAGTGTTGCACTCAGGCTGTGGATGTAGCTCAGAGGTAGAGCACTTGCCTAGAGGTGGAGCACTTGAATATTGTGGTCAAGCAGCTGAGGCATGGTTGGAGTGTTTGGGTCTAGAAAGAACTAAAGTACTTACTGAGGGTGGAAGGAGAAACAACACCAAGTTAGGCTGTTAGAAATGGCCATCTTAAGCCAGATGAGGTGGCACTCACCTGTAATCCCAGCAGTTCAAGAGGCTAAGGCAGGAGAATCACAAGTTCAAAGCCAGCCTAAGCAACTTAGTGAGGCCCTAAGTAACTTAGTGAAACCCTGACTCTAAATAAAATATTAACAAAGGCTGGAGATATGGCTCAGTGGTTAAGCACACCTGGGTTTAATCCCTAGTACCAAAAGAAAGAAATGGCCATCTCAAAACAGACACTTTGCACACTGAATCTTTTTCTTTCCACACTGAATTTTAAGAATACTGACAAAATGCTTTCTTTTTCTTACAGAAACCTATTTCCTTCCAATCTTGTGGTTGCAACATTCCGTACGGTAAGGTTTGATCCTTTGCCAAATATATGAAACTTTGATGGAGGAGAAATATAAATCACAGCTCTAGAGTTAGGTAAAGTAAGAGCAAGGCAGGATAGTGTTGTTAACAAATCTTGGTAACATTGACCCAAGTTTATAGATGAGCACCTGAAATAAAAAAATAAAGAATAACAACAACAAAAACTTTCTACAATGTCCCAAAGATACCCACATCTTTTATAGCTAAAAAATAACCCAAATCACATGTTGGAGAGATCTTAAATATTTTAAAATTTTAAAAATACAAAAATTTTTCTGATTAGAAAGGTAATACGTACTCATTGCAAAAATAAATAAATAAAATTTTTAAATGTGGAAGAAAACAAAAACCACCCATAGTTACTACTAGAAATATCCATTATTAACATTTTGTTATATGTCCTTCAGATATGTTTTTTCTATGCATGTACACATTTAAAAATAAGTATGCTATAGGGGCTGGGATTGTGGCTCAGTGGTAAAGCCCTCGCCTAGCACACATGAGGCACTGGGTTCAATCCTCAGCACCACATAAAAATAAAATAAAGGTACATGTCCACCTATAGCTAAAAATATATATTAAAAATTGGCAGAAAGAGTATTATAAAAAATTAAGTATGCTATACCTATTGTTAGTAGATGCATATACTATACATACTGCTTCATAACTTGTTCTTTTTTTTTTAATGCTTTTTTTTTTTTTCAATGCTGGGGATGGAACCCAGTGCCTCATGCATCCTAGACAAGCACTCTACCTCTGAGCTACATTCCCAGCCCTGCTCTTTTAAACTTGCTCTTTTTAAAACAATACATGATCAGCATTTTCCCATATAGATAAATATCCCCCCTGCATAATGCTAATGGCTATAGAATATGCTGTTAGTTAGTGCAGTTTCCCTCCATGTGTCCCCTGCTGATGGACATTCAGGTTGTGACTCGTTTTTCCCCTGTTTTGAGCAAAGCATCAAAATACACTCCTGTGGCCATTTTTGACAGAGAAGGACCATAAAGGTTAGATTAGGTGGTCTAATCCTTTGCTTTTTTTAGCAAAGACTTTTCTGTTTCCACTTACAACCTCTCACTTTTGTTGTTTTTTTAATCTGCATACAAGCACAGAAGCAACTTATATATATAATGTGAGGTAGCAGAAAAAAAATAAATTTATGGAGCTTTCAGTGCCTGTCACAGAGTAGGTGGGGTCAGTTTTAACCATGGGACAACTGAACACCTTTGCCTCTCTGAGGCCTTGTTAAATCAAAGCTGGTGAATCCAGAACTCATCGGAGGTTGCCAGGTCTTTACCTCTGAATGGGCTCCTCCAGACAGTTCTGAAGCCAAGAACCCTTGGTAGAGGTCAGAAAGGCACAGGCTGTAAAAGATTCCACTCAGCAGTATGGACTGCCATGGGGAGGTTCCTGTGGGCACCATGCAGAGGTGTGCAAGGTCAACCAACTATAGGACCAACCCTGCAGAGATATCTCACTTCCAAATTGTGAGTCTCCTGAAAGACTCAAAACAGCAGACATCATTTGGCCTAAAGTCCCTTGCTTTAGAAAGCATAGGCTCAAGCTAGCTTAGAAACAGATGCTAAAGAGCAGTCACACTCAAATAAGTTCTGAAATAAAATGAGGCATAAATAAATTAGTGAAAATAAAGTGACACATTTAAAAGTAAACTTTGACCTTATGGAATTAGTGCCAAGATTCTTTAAATAACATGAAGTCTCAGCTGTTGGAAATATCAAACTATCAGCAGGAAATTGAGCACATCTTCTCCAACCCATTGCCCAAGGAACAGAAGGAAATTCTCTCTGTTTCCTTGGGTCCCTAAGTAACCCAGAGGCCTCTTGAAGGACATGCTGCCTTGGTCTTAATGTAAATTCTGTGCATTTTCATCAAGCCAACCAAGTCCCCGGTGCTCAGTGCAAATCATGCTGGAGGAGAGACAGACCAGGCACTCCCTGGGTTCCTCTGGGTGGGGCTCAGCCCGGGCACTAACCAAGAGTTTTTGTTCCTTTTTTTTTTTATAGTACGCGACTGATTATAAAATGGTGACTCACAACACCAGCTTTGGAAATGTGACCCATGAAAAGGTAAAGCTCCCTACAAAGTCACTTGTGTAGAATATTCATAAAGCAAATAATGTTTCTTAATTAAGGAACAGTTAAGATGTGTCTTTTTCTCAATAGGGTTGAAAACTTTGGGGTCTGAATGGACTACTTAAAGCTAACAAGTTAGGTTTGCTTCTTTGGGTATTTGTGAACATGGCCAACTGCACTTGTGGTACCTGTGGTACTAAATCCTCCGAGGATCTGTGAGGTACTTTATAACACCCCCTCTGCTATTCTGAAATACAATGAAAAGCTGATTCAACTGATTCCTACACATAAAACTTTTTAAAAATAATATAAGGAAGAAATAAAAAAAAATGTGTGAGGAAGCAATCTATATTTCACCATGTAAATGCACAATTATAAGACATAATGAAGTTTTCAGATATTTGCATCTACTCAAAAATGAATAAATTTGGCTTTAAAATGTGAGATGGAGCTGGGCCTGGTAGCAGATTCCTAGAGTGCCAGCAAACTACTCAGGAGGGTAAGGCAGGAGAATCTCTTGAGCCCAAAAATTGCCCAGGATAGCCTAGGCAACATATTGAGATCCCATCTCTAATAAATAAATAAATAAATAAATAAATGCAGTGAGACAGAACTCAACTAAACATTGTTGCAGTTTGAAATAAGTGCTAAAAATTTTTGTAGCCATGTATGGAATTCACCTAAATATCAACAGCAACAACATCAGATTGACATTGTGTTGTACTAGTGACTTGGATAGTAGCACTTTGACCACTGGTGATACAATTTTCTGAAATAAAAAAACAACATTACAACAAAACAGTTTTCCTGTGTTTATATCAACTTGATATTCTTTGGAAGTCCATGTATGTTAAAACTGTGCAGAAAAAAAAAATAAGCTATGTATGTATAAAATGGAGTTAGCTAGAGCTCAGATCCACAAATAGGATTTCCCCATCTCCCGCTGTGTGAATGCCTGGTGGGATGCTCAGAAAACTGTCGGGTGTAGAAGAGTCTGCACTTTGTTTTAAAATATGTGAAGGCCTTTCAGGACATTTATCATTCTTAATATCCTTGTCTACTATTTCCTAGTAGGACATCATCAAAGTACCCCCCCCATAAAACTACCCTGCTTCATTAATATAATTTAATCAGCAGTCCTTAATTAAAAAGGCCAGAGAGGGTGGTTGGACCTGTCTGCCAATCCCTGATTGCCACAGCCGGGTTCATTGGGATACGGGCTCTCTAGGTGGGCTTACCTCTGCATGCCACCTTCATGGTGTATAAACTCCTTTGACATGTCATTTGAGTCTTAGGACACCCTGGTGAGGATTAGGATTTATTAGTCCCACTATAAATTACTTGACAGGATGATCTTCTAAGGTTGATCAAGACTATTCATAACCAGGAGCACTGTGTGAATCCCAGAACATTGTCTCTGCAGTGTCTTCGAATTTTACAAACCTTGAAGGCATTCACTGGCTGCTCAGATTTCCCCCTGGAAATGCTAGTGACTCTCAAGCACCCCCTGCCACCTGACATACCCTTACTTTCACTATAAATTTAATCCAGTAATGAAAAGAGTCAGTCTTTGAGACAGGAACAGTGTGTCCACGCTGGTTCAAGGCTTTCAGGAACCCTGTGATTAAAGATTGTATAAAGATTAAGTCATCTTTGTCCCCCAAGGATGAGATGTTGGTGACAGAGTGAGAAGTTGGGGACTCAGAAACACAAGGTCTTGTGGAAAGTCTCCTACCCTGACCCATGCCCTGTCTTCCTTGCCTCTTTGATCCCATATTAACAACTCGCTATAAATACCTCCTAGGGTTTTGTTGAATAATCATTAATTCATTAAACAGTGATTTACTTGGCAGCCACTCTGTGCCATTTGTGGGCACTAGACCGCAAGCATTGCTCAACATAGGAAAAGCCGGGCTCTTTCACAGCTAACACTCTAGTGGAGGAAACCATATAAAAAATACATATGGCCACTAGAAAATGAAGCAGGGCACATAAACATACAGGGAAAGTGTGTTTATGTGTACCCGGTGATGGTGAGGTGTGCCATCTTAGCCAGAGTGGTCAGGGAGACCTGATGAGAAGGAGGAGATATAGGGAGGCTGGTGGGAAGGGTCATATAGTCAATAGGAACGAATATGCAAAGGCAAACAAGCAAGAGGCATAGCTCTGGGAGCAACTCTGGCTGTATCTCTGCCTATGTCTACTCTTCTATCCCCACCCAATGCTGTTTGCCAAGGTGTGTGCAAACATCTTGCTGCAAAACACCTGCTTTAAAGATGGGAGTCATTTCTTTAGAAAAATTGTTGTTATTGCCCTCAAGTTCAGAAATCCAATTCCTTATCTGGAATTACCTGACCTCAAACACCATACCTGGGAATGGCAGGTCTACTAAAACTAACTTTGGATTAGCAGATGAATTCTCTGGTTGCATTGATTCTCGATCCTTGATTCCAGTTAAGATTTGGGACATGGATAAAAAAAAAATGTGGGTTGATAGCCCTGAGGTCACTACCAAATGTTAGCCCTGCAGCTCATAAAATCCTGGAAGCGTTCACTTCTCTAGAGATGCCTCCGGCACCCCCCCACATACATACAAGTTGTCAGTAGAGCACATACTACAACCCAAGCTTTCTTCCTCCCCGGCTCTTTAACCTGTAGCCTGGCAACTTTAATAGACCAAGTCCCCAGGAGAAAATAGTGCTATTCAGAAGATATTCAGATATTCTTATTGTCTTTGGTAACATAACACCATTTGTAAGAAGAACCCTGTCTAGATAAATGAACCTAGAATGATCTCCAACAAAATATCCCATTAAAAAAAAATAATAATGGCAAATTCTTGTTAGTTTTCATTTGCCAAACACAGTCTAGGTGCTTTACATTTATTAATATACTGAATCTTCAGCCTTCTATGCTAGCTACTATGATTGTCCCCGTTTTGTAGATGGGGCACTGAGGCACAGAGAGAGTTAACTTACTTACACTCACAACTAGCAATTGTAATGTAAGTCAGGCTCCAAAGCCAATGCTCCGTAATTATTATTTCTACTGTTACTCTATAAGTCATATAGATGTCACTGATATATTTCAGTATAGACAAAAGCACTGGATATGGTGATCATCATCCTATATTTCAACTTTTCTATTAATTTTGAAATGTTTTGTGATGAAAATTTGGAAGAATGCCAGGCATATTAGCACACACCTGCAATCCCAGCTACTCAACAGGCTGAAACAGGAGGATTGTTAAGTTTGAGGCCAGCCTAGGCAACTTAGTGAGACCTTGCCTCAAAATCAAAAGGGCTGGGGATATAGCTCAGTGGTAGAGCACGTGCCCAGCATGCACAAGGCCCTGGGTTCTGTCTCCCCAGTTCCACAAAAAAGGAAAGAGAGAAAAAGAGAATAAATAAAAGCGACCCATCAAGGTGGTTGTCCAACCATCCTTGAACACATCCGGTGACAGGAAGCTCACTACTTTATAATTGAATCTGTGCCATACGTATTTGAACTCTTCAGAGTTAAAGAGGTAAAATTTTTACTTGTTCATTTTCTGCATCCTCAAATACTATCTCCCCTCAGGTTTTTTTTATTCATAAAACCACTAAAGAAAAACCATTAAAGAAAATAATGAGCCTTTTATCACTCGGGATAGTCTGATGGAAATGTCAAGCAAATACACCCTAAATTCTCTCTCTTCTGTTGTGTTGTGAACTTAGACCATTCTGTCTCCTCTGATCCTGCAGATTCCCTATGCCACTGAGATTGAAGGAATGAACATTTTAGGATTGGTTCTCTTTGCCCTGGTGTTAGGAGTGGCCCTAAAGAAACTAGGCTCCGAGGGAGAAGAGCTCATCCGCTTCTTCAATTCCTTCAATGAGGCGACAATGGTGCTGGTGTCGTGGATTATGTGGTGAGTGTCACCCTGCCACTTCCTCTTATCTCGTTTCCCTTGACATCCAGGAAAGAATCCAACTTTGCTATTCTAGTTTTCCCGTAGGGCCACCTGGCCCAGAGATCTTTTGTGGTTGGTGGACCTCAGGCCAGTCTTGATACAGGAAGGGATGCATGTAGAGATGGCTTCTCTTCTTATCCAGGACCTAGGGAATTAGGTGTGCACCATAGTTACCAGTCACCCCTACAGTGCCCCCACTGACCCTTGGTGACTTTGTCACTATGATCTATTTAGGAGTTTCCACCATTGACCCATGCCATGTGCTCTGTCCATATCATCTTATAGAGCTTTGAATTTGTCATCTGTCACATAAAATAAGACCTGATTTATCTCAAAATGATAGACTTCTAATTTCCAAGAGACCTTTCACTATAGTATTTCACAACATGGAGGACCAGCCCAACTTCACCCCAGGCATGAAAAAACATGTAAAACTTGGAATGGTCTTTTGTTTATAAGTTTTTATTTCATAGATTACTTTTTGTGAGAATATCAAAAGAAGAATGATTATTGAGTAAAAAGAACAATAGATTGATTCCTGGCTAAAAATGTAAAAAGTTTGACCAGCTCACTCAAAACAACTTAGGAATCATGTCAATTCCAATGCTCAGACCTCATAGGTTAGCTGGGTATGGTGGGACGTGCCTGTAATCCCAGCAGCTCCACAGGCAGAGGCAAGAGGATCGCACCATTGAGGCCAGCCTCAGCCTCATAGCTTCACAAGGCCCTAAGCAACTAAGTGAGACCCTGTCTCAAACTAAAAAATAAAAAGGAATGGGATGTGGCTCTGGTACCAAAATAAATAAATAAATAATGAGAGAGAGAGAGACCTCAGAAGCTTTACTTGGAATTTCCCCCAAGCCAGACCTCTGTGGCTTTTAGCTTTTACCCATTAGTTGTTAAAAACTAGTTTATCCTTTCTTGCATAACGTCCTTATTGTCAAACCCTTAAAAAATCCCAGAACTCTTTCTCAATCAAATGAGACTGGGTGATAACTGGACTGGTTTTCAAACCGCACTGGTTTTCAGAGATGTTTGAAACATAGAGGCCAAATCTAAAGCACCCCCTTCCCCCACACCACCAGTGGTGTTTCTCTTGCTCCATCCAAGGACCCCAGAGCCTGCCTCTGTTCATTGCAAACACTCCACTTCGTATGACTGCAGTTGTCTCGGGGAGACACTGGTATTTTCAGAAAGGAAACTTTTCTTTCATCAGATGTCAAGTTCTTTTCTTGGCTTATTTTTTGACTCTAAAATTCTTCCAAAGTTTGGACTTAAGAAAACCCTGTGCAAGAAAGTATTATTCCCAGTTTAGAACATTTGTTTTTAGTCTGGAAACTCTTTGAGTCATTCCTTCAGTTTGATGTGCCAGTTATGTAAGTAGGTTCTCGGTGAGGCAGATCTTGCAGAGTATCTAGCTACAGGGGGAGATCAGCTGCCCAGGAAGCACAGGTCACATAGCACTGGAGTGTCATATGACCTCAGATGGTCAAGGATCTCAACCACACATGAGAGGGATCTTCAGTAGAAGCCCACTCTAAAACCACAGCAGCTGCCTACTCACCCTATGTATTCACAGAAATAACTTCTAGATGAACCAACCATACACACAGTCAGCAACCTTTGCAAGCCATACAGTTTCTGTTGCAATAACCCAACTCTTTCATTGTAAAGTGAAAGAAGCCAAAAGTAACTTATAATAAATGGTTGTGAATGTGTTTCAATAAAACTTTATTTACAAACATTTACGCTGCCAACTCTTGGATAAAACTAATCAGGAAGAAGAAAAAGAAAAGAAGAATCCTCTAAAAATATTTGAAGGAAATATATGAATAGGGAAAGTCTACCGAAGCAACATATAAAAAGCAAAAGCATTTTTAAAAGCTTCTAAACTTGAACATGTCAGAATCCAAAGAGTTTGCATGCAAAAGATACTTTGAACAAAGTTAAAAGTCAAGACACTTATTATAAAAAATAATAATAACATATTACATACCGTGTACAGAGAAATAAAGAGTTCTGTTACTGAAAAAGAAAAAGACTGAAGACACTATTAGAAAATGGACAAAATATTTAAGCAGGCAGTTTATCACAGAGGAGAGCTGAATGACATTTTTTAAAATAGTTTTAATTGTAGATGAACACAATACCTTTATTTTATTTATATGTAGTACTGAGGATCGAACCCAATGACTCACACATGCTAGGCGAGCGCTCTTATCACTAAGCTACAACCCCAGCCCACTAGTAAACATTTTAAGGGAAGCCCAACCTCATTAGAAATCAGGGAACTAAGGACTGGGGTTGTGGCTCAGTGGTAGAGCACTTACCTAGCATATGTGAGACACTGGGTTCAATTCTCAGCACCACATATAAATAAATAACATAAAGGTCCATCAATAACTAAAAGACATATTTAAAAAAAAGAAATTAGGGAACTAATAAAAAGAAATGAGGCAGATTTCTAAGTCCTGACATGAGAGGATCTCAAAGGCATAATGCAGGGTGAAAAGTCAATAAATGTACAGATTTAAATCCATTCCTATATACCTTAATGCATAGGAAATTAGCACGACTATCTGAGGTGGAGTCTGGCTTGGGAATTGTATCTACAGAGGATTTTAGTCTAATTTATAATGTTTTAGTTTTTTGAAGGGAAAATGTGTTCATGTATTACAACAAGGATTTAAAATTAATAACACTACTTACAATATCTCTAGAAAGAAATCTCTGCATTGACTGTCCCCAGTGGGTACTTAAGGGATAGAAATGAGAGATTTCATACTGTTGACCCTTTTGTACTCCTTGAAATTTGAACTCTGAAACATTATTACATATATAATTAAAATTTTTTTAAAAATCAACAGTCCTACCATGAATACTCCATGTGTGTATGTCACAATGCATTCTACTAACATGTATAACTAAATAATAAATAATAAAAAGAAAACAAACATTTAAGTTCTTCCTGAATTGCTATTAAAATTTTAAAAACTGACGTTTGTTCTTTGCAGCTCCCATAAGTCATTCCCTCCCTTTTTGCCTTTAAAAAAATCTTCACGTTCTAGAAGTGTTCCCAGAGTGTCATTGTTACTGACTTTTTCCCACGGGATCATGTTTGTCAAACCACAAAGAATGTAAAATTTCACAGAAGGGAAAATCTGGCTCGATTTTGTATCACAGCAATTCTGTGAAATAAATGTTATCCCTCCATGTTTCTAAGTTCTCAGAAGGAGCCGGAACAAAAGCTGAAAGTCAAGCTCACAGTCCCAGAGGCTTTGATCTTGAGTCCCTGGCTTTCTGCTTGGGAGCCCCTGTGGTTAGTAGTATCCATCTGTTAAGAGCACGTGTCTTGGCCTGGGGATATAGCTCAGTTAGTAGAGTGCTTTTCATATACACAAGGCCCTGGGTTCAATCCCCAGCACCACACACACACAATCACACAAACCATATGTCTCCAAGAGAAAAGAAGACTGGGCTCTGCTGACTCCAATCCCTATGGTAAGTGATCAACTTTGTTTTACTCAGTCTCAACCAGTAAGATGAGCATGATCTATCCCCATGCTCTTCTGTGCTCAGAGTTATCCCAGACCAAGATGACGATGTCCTGGTTCAGAGTTCCTGCATTCTGTATTAGGATTAGGAAGGGCCGTCATCTCCCAGCCCCTCCTTATCACCTTCCTGATGAGTACCTTGTGCTTATCCCCTAGGTATGTACCTCTGGGCATCATGTTCCTGGTCGGAAGCAAGATTGTGGAAATGAAGGACATTGTCGTGCTGGTGACCAGCCTTGGGAAATACATCTTCGCATCTATATTAGGCCATGTTATTCATGGAGGAATTGTTCTGCCACTTGTTTATTTTGTTCTCACACGAAAAAACCCATTCAAATTCCTTCTGGGCCTCCTCACACCATTTGCAACAGCATTTGCTACCTGCTCCAGGTGAGTAGGCTTGGAGGGCTTTGGCTGCTCCAGCCATATCAGTATGGAACCAGGTGAGATCAGGGAGACAGATGCACAACCAGTTCTTTTTCTTCTTGTGCACATTTTGTACTACAAGGCAATATGTGATCCTTGATAAAATTTGGAACAGGTGAATCCAAGAAAATAATATCACAGGTAAATGCAGGAAGTAACTGGGAGTCGGGAGGTGAGAAAGCCTGTGTTATGCCAGAAAGTTTGAAACAATTCTGTGTTTTTCTTCTTATTTCAAGGGAGGAAAGTCAGAAACTAAGACAGTACTCATTGCTGTGTTCCAGGGTCTGAGATGAGTGATGTATTAGCCTGGTCTGAAGGAACTGTTCTCATAGTTCGTTGGTTGTTTTTCCATTTCTAGTTCAGCAACCCTTCCGTCTATGATGAAGTGCATCGAAGAAAATAATGGTGTAGACAAGAGGATCAGCAGGTTTATTCTCCCCATCGGGGCCACTGTGAACATGGATGGAGCTGCCATCTTCCAGTGTGTGGCCACAGTGTTCATCGCCCAGCTCAACAACGTGGAGCTGAATGCAGGACAGATCTTCACAATCCTGTAAGCTCAGTATTCTTTCCCTCATTTGGGGTCTGGATTAAAACCTGAGGTTTTTCTTGTGATTTCCTTCAAAACAGTTTATTGCAACTCAACATCTCATTTGCAAAGTGTGGACAGTTTGGATTCGTTAGAGTCATCCTTCAGTAATCTTGGGGGGCATTAGTTCTAGGACCACTCCCCTATAATCCCCACAACCCCCTGCCAATCACAGATACCAAATTCCATCAAACTCAAGTCTCTTACATAAAATGGTGTAGTATTTGCACCTAACCTAAGCCATTTTCCAATTTTTTGTGTGTGTGTGTGAGTGTGTGATAATCAGTTTAACCCAGGGGTGCTCTACCACTAAGTAGCCAAAGCCTTTTTTATTTTTATTTTTTTTTATTTTGAGATAGAATCTTGCCAAGTTGCCAAAGCTGTTCTCAAATTTATTATCCTTCTGCCTCAGCCTCCTGTGTTGTTGGGATTGCAAGGGTCCAGCAACATGCCTGGCTTCCCATATACTTTAAATCATCTAGAACACTCTCAGTCCCTGATACAATGTAAATACTGTGTAACTGGTTGTTAGACTGTAGTGTTTAGGGAATCGTGACAAGGAAAAGTCTCCATGTTCAGTAAAGAAGAAATCTTTAAGAATTTACATTTTGATCCGTGCTTGGTCGAATCCATGGATGTAGAACCTGGGCCTAAGGTAGCTGACTGCACTTGCAGAGAATGGCTCTTCTCTTCAGGCCCCAGAATCCTCGGTGGTGTGGTTTTCAGTTTCTACACTATGACTGCCATATTCTGCATATCTGTGTTAAGGGCTGACCCTGCTTTGCCATCCCCTAGAGTGACTGCCACCGCGTCCAGTGTTGGAGCAGCGGGCGTGCCAGCTGGAGGGGTCCTTACCATCGCCATTATCCTGGAGGCCATTGGGCTGCCCACCCATGACCTCTCTCTGATCCTGGCTGTGGACTGGATTGTGTAAGTAGCAAGTCCTAAGGACACCAAAACCAGAAAAGTCTTTTGTGTAGTTCCTTGGGAGCTTGACTCTCTGCTAGGCCTGGGGCATGCAAAGAAACCTAAAACACGCTCCCTGCCTTGTGAAGTAGCCTACAGTAAAGCTGGCAAGTCCAGATTTAGAGCTAGGAAAAGTTAAACAATATGAGACCCAATGCCCAGGATCATCCATGAACAACCATGAGATGCCAGTACTGAGAACTTGCTTGTAGCATCCAATACAGTGAGGATTCAGGGCCAAGGCTCCCAGCACAGGCCCAGGGGGCACAGGGGCCATGGAGGTTGTTGGCTGCAGATGAGAGATAAGTAGTCGGAGCGGTGATCCTTTAGGAATGGTTGTCCTTCACCTGGAAATGTCTAGGATCAATTTCTGTGGGAGGAAAGAAAGTGAACTCTGTGAATGCGAGAGTTTCTAAATGTTGATTTCTTGAATCTTGTGATACCTTTTGCAGCTGTAAATAATATCCCACTGTATAGGGAGGGTCAGCTGAGATGCTGATGTTGAGATAGGAGAGCACATGGGCAAGAAACTGAACTAGAAAAGTGAAAATATTAGAGTCAAATGCACATGAACATCAATGAATGACCATGAGATGCCAACACTGAGAACTTGCTTGTAGCATCCAGAAGCCCAGGCACTTGGATTCAAGTCCTGGCTTCAATGTGTGGCAGTTGAGTAACGTGAGCTCCTCTGTGCTTTGGTCTGCTCATCTGTAAAATGGGAATCATAACAGAAGCTCCATCGCAGCTGCAGTGAGGGTTAAATAAATCCACACATGCAAAGCACACAGAACGCTGGGCACATGGGAAAGCATTTGATAGATACAGTGAAGACATTCCTGCCAGGCTAGTCATAGCCAGGCGTGAGAAGACCTGAATACAGGAACCTGGCACTGAGCTCTCCGATCTACCCATGGTGGTTGGGTGGTTGGATGGTTGGGATCAGTTTTTCCAACTTAACACCCTTAGTGAAATGAGGGTAAAATGTCCTGTAGATGCCTGTTGTCCAGATCCTCCATGAAAAGGAATTCCGTCCCCAAGCTGGCAACTTGGATAGAACCAGAGTCATATCAGAGCTCATGTAGCTGCCTCTGGTGCAAGGAGAAAGGACATCAGAGGTACTTGGCCAGGGAAGAAATAGGGCCCATGCCAGCTGACCCACCAAGCCCTCCAGCCACCCATGCCCTATGATCCTGCACCCATGGCTTGTGTCCTCTGGTGCCCCCTGAGAAGATCACATTTTCTCCCCTCTCTTCAATATGGACACAATACCTTCTTTGAACGAAGATAGATATTGGACTCACCTGTGGTAGATAAGCTAGAAAGGATAGTGCTGTCGTTCTTAGAGAGGGCGTTTGCCAATAGCCATGCACAGGAAGGTCCCATTAGTGAAGCTGGGCCAAAATGAGAACAGCTCAGTGTGACACTGAGGGGAAGAAGAGCTGAACACAAAGCCATGTCTACTCTACTCTCCTCCCAACTTGATGGAATTTTATACGGTGGTGTCTATTACATATAAAAGACATTTATAGAAAGATGTCTGGAAGGAGCTAGATCGCAGCGTTACTCTGGACTCATTCAGAGTTTGGAATATGGGTAACTTGTTTGCTTCTTTATACTTCTTTTTCTTTTCTTTTCCTTTTTTTTTTTGGTACTGTGGATTGAACCCAGGAGTGCTTTACTGAGCTCCAGCCCCAGCCCCAGCCCTTTCTATTTTTTGAGACAGGGTCTCATTAGGTTGCATAGGGCCTCACTTAGTTGCTGAGGTTAGCTTTGAGTTTGCAATTCTCCTGCTTCGGCCTCCCGAGTCACTGGGGTTACAGGCATGCAACACTGCTCCTGGCCCCTGGTCCTTTTTATTTTTTATTTTGAGACAGGGTTTCACTAAGTTTCTGAGCCTTGAATTTGCAAGACTCTTACCTCAGCCTCCTGATTTGCTGGGATGTAAGATCAACTTCGAGCAAGACCCTTAGTAGCATGCCTTTCAGGAAACAACAAGGCATCCCTCCTCATTACTTCCCTCAAGGCTGTCCAGCCTGCCTGGGACAGGGCCAGCTCCCTGCTAGCTCCCAGTGGTGGTACTGGATGTGACTCTTGCCCTTTGCTTTTCCTACCAGGGACCGGACCACCACCGTGGTGAACGTGGAAGGGGATGCCCTGGGTGCGGGCATCCTCCACCACCTGAATCAGAAGGCCATGAAGAAAGGGGAGCAGGAACTGAGCGAGGTGAAAGTGGAAGCTGTTGCCAACTCCAAGTCTGAGGAGGAGACATCGCCTCTGGTGACACACCAGAACCCTGTAGGCCCTGTAGCCAGCGCCCCAGAACTGGAATCCAAGGAGTCGGTTCTGTGAGGGAGCTGGGCCTTCACCCCGCCCTGCTCCCACCCTGTTTGACACAGTCACAGCCCTCATGGACTTTTAATTTCCAAGCAATGCTTTGGCCTAGTCACTAGTTAGAGGAATTACCTCAGCACAGGCGTTGGGCTCCCCAGTGAGAACGGGTTCCCAAGGACCAGGACACGGACATTTGGCACCAGGACTCTGTTTGGAAACACCCCCTCAAGCCACCAGGCTTGGGAAGATCGTGGGCTCTCGGGGGGCCTCTGGGTAAAGCCTGGAAAAATGTGGATGTATTCTTCATTGCCCCCGGTCAGCGGTCATCAGATGCTCTCTGGGCAAACCCAGGGCCTTTGTGGTCACCTGTCACGTTGCCTTATGGACAGTAGTAATTGGAAAAATTCCCAAATTCTTAACTTTGGCTGGAATTTGCTGAGCTGCAACTCAGGTGTTTCAAGAGTTTATGCTCCAACTAAGTGTGGGTGGCTTCTAGGGGACCCGAGGTACTGCTCAGTGTCAAGTTAGAAATACTCCAAGTCGGGGCTGGGGATGTAGCTCAGTGGTACAGTGCTTGCGTAGCATGCAAAAGACCCTGGTTTCAATTCCCAGTACCACAAAAAAAAAAAGAAAAGAAAAATACTCTAGGTGGTGTTAGCACTGCTGGGGTGCCTGGTCAGTATCACTAAGGAACTCTAATTTCCAAGATCAAAGAAAGGCAAGGGAGTACACCCTGGGGGTGAGGGTGGGGACCCTGCTAAGGACAGGGCAAACCCATCTGCCCTGTTCCCATCCCAGGCTGAGGTACCTTTCTGCTTCTGAGGCCTGAGCCTCTGACAATACTTCAGCTTTATCTCCATCCACTCTGATTTGACAATGGGCCAGAGGGGCCTCTTTCTCTGGGGAGGTGAGATGTGGTCATCACATTCACAATCCGTGTTGGTTTATTAATCTAATTTTAATTTTTAACTAGACCCTAAAATGTCACACGGCAGAAAAACAAAACAAAACTACAAAAACCACCTGCCCCCCACCAATAAATCCATGCTCTAATTGGGGTGGGATGCCCCTACTCCCCGGTCCCCAAGCTTTGGCTGATTTCCATAGATGAGGACTCCTTTCCTGCTGGCGCCTCAAAGTTTAAAATTACCAGCAAAGTGGTCCACATTCCTCCAGATACTGTGCCCCAGTTTTAGTCCAGGGAAGGGTTCTCTTAGAAGAGAGGGTGTGGCTGGTTGGAGGGAAGACCTCAGTCTGCTCCTTTACCATGGCTGTTGATGTGACAAGTCCTGGGCCTCACTTTACCCCATTTATAAAATGGGGCTAATGTCACCTGCCTCTTAACCTACCTCAGAGGGATCTGGTGAGGCGAATGAAATCTGTGAAAATGACCATTTCATCATTTTTGGGTTTTGGAGAGCAAATGCTAACCCATGTGGACTTCTTATCTACCTAAGTGACAGCTTCCTTCTGTGGAGGCCACCTTCGGGTGGAGACAGTTCTCCTGAGCAGGAGATCCTCTATCCTGCCTCTGATCTGTTCTCTGAGTCGTTATTTGGTAACATCCCGTGCAGCCTCTCCTGAGGTCCTTTAGGCTGGGATGAATTTACTCCCCACCTCCCACCACATTTCTGGGTGCCTGTCTTCTGTGTGATCCCCATGCCCAGCCACTGTTTGGGCCACCTCCCCAATACACACATCAGGCCATTAAAGTCCCCAAACGCTCAGTCTCGTTCACTCTTGGTTTCCCTGTTTGTGTCACCAGGTCTTACAGGTAACACATCTTTATGATGCATCTGCCATTACCATGAGAAAGACAGACAGAGAAATACCCCTCCATTTTAGAATAGGGGGTCTGTGCCTGAGTGGATGGGGTAGGGGGAAGCCATGGGGCTCAGAGATGACCTGCTCTGTAGGAAAGCCTGCTCTCTCGAAACCAGCTAAACCACTCCAGTATCCTGTGAATCCAGGAGTGACCAGGAACTGAGAAGAGGTACCTGGAAACTTCTAGCCTGTGGCTAGAGCTGGTTGCCAATGCCTTCTGTTTTCAAAGGGGGTGGGGGGGGGACAATTGCATTGTGGGGTTCCATACTGTAAATGAATATCCACCACTTTACAGACTTCCGTGTACAAATGTGTGCAGGTATATATACTAGTATGTATATATACTGTGTGTGTGTGTGTGTGTGTGCGCGCATTTGTGTATGCATGTGTACCTGTGTGTTAGTTTTAGCTCCAACCCAAGGTAGTTTGAATTTGGATAGAGAACTAACTTAAAAGTATACGTCTTTGGCTTCCTGCTTTTCCATTTCTAAAGATGAATCTTACAAAGTGCACAGGTTACGGTGAGGCCCATTGGTTGAACACTCATGTCCTAACGTAGCCCTGCCATAAGGACAGTTCTGCTGCTGCCACCTGGAGAAGCCTGCTTCCATGTGATGGGCAGACGACCCTCCCCTTGGAGACTGGAAGAGAACAGAGAAGGGGCCATGTCTCCTGTTTCTCAGTCTGCAGAGGCGTCAGTGGACCAGGGGTCACCGACCAGGGAAAATCCCACTGTACCCTGTCTGAAATGTCTCCCCCCACCACTCTCTTTCTAACATGTCATAAAAACTGTTCATCTCTGTTTTGTATGTGTGACACTTGCCTTAAAAGTAGCACAGTCCTCAAAAATGAATACAGCATTTCTACTGGTGTCTGCGAGTCCTTTGTTCCTGTCTTGTGTTTGAAAAGGCATTTGTTCTAGGGGTGGCTTGGGAGGACAGAGTGGAATTTTTTCCCTGCTCCTTTCAGCCAGCGTGAGCCCCTGAAGCAGGATAGGCTGGCTCAGGTGGGCAAAGCTTCAGAGACAGTTGCCACTGATCCTTCTGTTGCTACCAGCTTACATGGGTGAACATCAAGCTGCCTGGGGCCTCCCATCTACACTACCAGGGTTCATGCAAAAAAATGTGTTGTTAGTCAGGTGTGGTGGCTCACGCCTGTAATCCCAACGGCTTGGGAGGCTGACGCAGGAGGATCACCAGTTCAAAAGCCAGCCTCTGAAAAACAAGGTTTTAAGCAACTCAGTGAGACCCTGTCTCTAAATAAAATACAAAATAGGGCTGGGGATATGGCTCAGTGGTCAAGTGCCCCTGAGTTCAATCCGGGTACCAAAAAAAAAAAAAAAAAGTGTGTTGTTTGCCACATACCTCCATAAAATTAAGTCTTGACAGGACAACTAGGTTGCAGGCCTTAACTGAGCATCTACAGTAAGCCAAGCGCCAAGCCAGGAACAACAAAGAAGAATGCCCCAGGCCATAGAACTACTGAGACAGTCCCTAAGGGTGGGCAGTTAGTTGCCCATGCCTCTACCATGGTCCCCACCACACCCAGCCGTTCTTTTGTATCTTGTTTTCAGTGACACCACATTCCAGCACAATTAGGAATTCTAGAAGCCTCTAATAAAAGGATTATCCTGCAAGCTCATACTGGAAGCCCTCCATTCCTCTGCTCTGAAGAAACAGATGCCTGTTCCAACCTGGATACTTCCAGCTTGTCATAGAATATGGAAACCAATTTTAATTTCTGGGAAAGGTACAAAGGATGAGGAGAGAGACTTTGCACAGATCAAAGGCCTAGTGTGGCCTTTGACAAATATTAATTTGCATTCCTACCCTGGCCTGTGGTTGCCTTGATTCTCTCCTGTGGAGAGTGCTTGAAGGCTGGGTTAGTGCCTACTGATTGAGTTTTGTTTTGTTTTGTTTTAAATAGCCAAATCAAAAGCAGCAGTTCCACACACTCAGCTGCCTCTGCCTAGGTGACCAGGAAGTGCGCTGGTCTGTTGGATCAGGATCCTTCTCAAAGGAACTTTCACTTACCTCCAGGAGCAGCATAAGCCATGCAGCCAGGAGGAGCATAGGGCTCCAGTCCCAGCTCTGCCACTCGCTTGCTATGTGACTCTGGGCACAATAACCTCTCCGCGGCTCAGTCTCCTCAGAGTTAAAATGGGGTTAATAAACTGGGCACTGTGGCGCACGCTTGCAATCTTAACGACTCAGGAGGTTGAGTCAGGAGGATCACAAGATCCAGACCAGCTACTTAGCAAGACCCCCATCTCAAAACAAAACATAAAAAAGGCTGGGGAGGCAGCTCAGGGGAAGAGCGTCCCTGGGTTCAATCCTTAGTACAGCAAAAATAAATAGATGATATAATAAAATGGGGATAATAACTGCAGCAATGATGTAGGCTTTTGTGAGGATTGAATGAGTTGGTATATATTAAATGCTCAGAAAAGCACCTGACACATGAAATGTATTGTCAGTGTTTGCTCTCAAATCAGAGTAGATATAAAGGTTCCCAAGCAGCCTGTGTCCCTTGGTGCCTGGGCCCAACAAAAAGCATGTGTGCATTTTTTTTGGGGGGGGGGGCGGGTGGCAGGGGTACCAGGGATTGAACCCAAAGACGCTTAACCACTGAGTCACATCCCCAGTCCTTTTTATGTTTTATTTTGAGACAGGGTCTCACTAAGTTGCTTAGGGCCTCGCTAAATTGCTGAGTCTGGCTTTGAACTTGCCATCCTCCTGCCTCAGCCTCCTGAGCCACTGGGATCACAGGCATGCGCCACCACGCCCAGCTCTGCATGTGTGCATTTGACCCTTTTCCCTTTGGAGAGATGGAGAGGAAAATCTGCCCAACTCGTAGGCCTCTCAGCTCATCCATCCTTATGCAATACAAGAATGAGTCTAACATTTTGTTCTAAAAGCATTTGGACTTCTGCTTTAAAGGAACTGGGCCTTGTTAGGATGCACTTGGATGACTCTTCTTCACAAAAGGAGTGTTCCATTCACCATTTCCTCTCTTCAGTTATGTTCTTCCAAGTCGCAACCCAGAATGCAGACAGCTCCCAGCAACACGCTGTCTTCCAGACAGGGATTTGCAATCTTGGCCAGCACTTAGCCCCTTAACCATCACGGAGGGACTCAGGGAAGGGAAAGACAGGCGTGGGTGTTGGGTTCCGATCTGCCTGCCAATCTCAGGGCTCTTGATCTGCAGGCCCCCAACTTGGTGATCTCAATGAGTGAGGCAACACGTATCAAGAGGGAATGATTTAAATAAAATTTCCCCTCTCAAAGGAAAACAGTCATGAGCTCTCATGGGTTTTTAACTATATTGAGAATTGGAGCTTAGTGTTTCAAAATTTCTCTGAATTATTTGTTATAGGAGCTGTATTTTTAGCCTGTTTCCTGTTGCTAATTCCACAATGCCACAGACTGAGTTAAAAGAAAAAAGGTTTATTTGGGCTCATGGTTCTAGAGATCCAAGGTCAAAGGCCCAAATGATGATGACCTTCTTGCTGGAAGAGTCCTGATGTGGTGCAAGACATTATATGGCCCAGACAGGGAGTACACATCACATGTATGTGTATGTACATGTAACTTGTACATCTTCTGGTGTGCCTCCCTCTTATAAAGCCACAAGGATTCCATCATGAGAGCTCTATCCTAATGGCCTTATCTAGTCCTAATATCTCCTAAAGCCCTCACCTCTGAGAAACACCCATCACTGGATTAAGTTACCTGCATCTTAATACCTCTCAGTGGGGATTATATTCAACACATGAACCCTTAGGAGTCACACCCAAACTGCATCTCAACCACAGCAGGAGCAAGACATAGAAGAACATTGGGGGCTGGGGTTGTAGCTTAGTGGTGGAGCACTTGCCTAGCACGTGAGAGGTATTGGGTTCGATCCTCAGCACCACATAAAAATAAATAAATATATTCCATCTACAACTAAAAATGCTTTAAGAACAAAATAAAACAAAAAAGAACATTGGGCTGGATTGTTAGCAAATATAAGATTATTTGGAACAAGATGTGATCTTGGGATTCTTAGGGTGATTTATAACAGGTAAATTTGTTCCAGGACCAAGGGCACATCATGCCCAATATCTGCCTTTAAGGGCAAGAGAAAACCATGCATGAAGTTCAGAAGTGTTCCTTCTTTGAAAAAAATAGCTCCAGGGGATGTCCTAAAGTTAGTAGATCAGTAAGATTCAGCATCTCTCTTTCTTTTTTTCTTTTTCTTTTTCTTTTTTTTTTTTTTTGCATGCTGGAGATTGAACCTAGGGCCTCTCACACATGCTCGGCAAGCTCTACCACTGAACTATATCCTCAGCCCCAAATTTTTTTTAATAATAGGGATAGAATCCACATGCCATAAAATTCACTCTTGTAAAATGAGCAATGCCATGGTTTTTAGTATATCCACAGAGTTGTGCAATTATCACCATAATTTAATTCCAGAAAGTTTTCATCACCCCAAGAAGAAACCCTGGACCCCTAGAAATAAAAGTAGAATCTACTTTCTCTCTCGTGAATTTGCCTATTCTATACATTTCATATATGTGGGATCATAACATCTCTTCCTTTTATAGATGCATCCCAGGTAAAGAGAATTGATGTTCAGAAGGAACCACTGCCCACCTTCCCACTCACTACAGCCTTCTCCCCACACACTCAAAGGAGGCCTTACAAGAGAAGATCCACTAAAGGTTCAGTCATTTTCACTTGTTCTCCATCTATTCAGAAGAATTTTTTTTTTAAATCAGGAGTTAGACCCAAAAAGTGGGAGGGGGGAGCAACGGGGGAGGTGAAGATTTCTGGTTAATGTATTAACCAGAACACTTAACTTAGAAGATTCTTTTGCCCAAATATGTATAACAGATGTTGGTCTCTGCATCTGAATCACATGCTAAGTTAAAGTGTGGTCTGCATCCAGGCAACTGATTCTGTTAACACTGGCAGGGCTGCCATACTGCGTAGTACCATGGGGGCATAATTCACATTGCATTCTGGGTGAATGATGCTCACAGTTGTGCAGTGTGAAGACTTCCTGTGTGCACATGATAGACCTGGACTCTAGAGGGCAGCTATAATTTAAAAGTTTGACTCAGCTGACCACAGTGGTGCACGCCTGTAATCTCAGCAACTCAGGAAGCTGAGGCAGGAGGATCACAAGTTAAAGGCCAGCACTCAGCAGCCTAGTAAGACCCTGTGTCAAAATTAAAAAGTAGAAAGGCCTGGAGATATAATTCATTGGTAGAACATCCCTGAGCTCAATCCCCAATGCCACAAAAGAAAAAAGAAAGGTTTGACTCACATTCAAACACAAAGCATGTTGAATATGTGTGCTCTATAAAAATGGTGTTGCTGTTCTTGTTTTTCCTTTTAAGAAGTGTGGGCTAATGAGTCTCCAAGGCAAAGGGGTTGTGGTCAAGAGGAACTTCCTTGCCAGACACAGTGGCCCACTCCTGTAATCCCATCTGCTTTGGGGCAGGGGGAAGGCTAAGGCAGGAAAATCACAAGTTTGAGGACAGCCTCAACAACTTAGCAAGTCCCTAACCAACTTAGAGAGACCCTGTCTCAAAATAAAAACTGAAAAGGACTGGGGATGTAGCTCAGTAGTTGAGCGTCCCTAGTTTCAATTCTCGGTACAACAAAAAACAGGAACTTCCTTAACCAGCTGCAGGTCATATTGACTTTCCATTTGCATGTGTGTTCCTATAATAAGGCATCCAGGTTTGTTGCTAGGCACTTATAGCATCAACATACCTTTTATCTCTCTGTTCTCTGAGCACCTGGCTGTCTGGCTGGATTGCCTCCAGCCAAGCCCCTTTAAGACCAATCTCATGACAATGGGTAGTCTCAAGATCTCAAGACTGG